GATTTAGAGGCCGGGTTGCCCCCTTGGGTATCCAAGCCGTGGCTCCTCTTACTTCTGGTAATTATGAGTCAAGGTCTTAGAAGGTTTTTGTTTGTTTGCTTTTTCTCCGCCGGCTTCTGCATTAGTTGGTAGAGGAGACAGCTGGTGTAAGTGCACAGTGTTGTACTGGAGAACATCCGGGACGTCCTCTAGTAAATCGGGCAGCAACGAAAGGCCAAGTGCAGAAAACGTGGTTTGGTTTGGGTTTGCTTTTTTTTTAATCCTACCCGAGGCAGAAACAAGACATGCAAAGCATTTATCTTTAAAACGCTGCTACCTGAAAAAACTGCTCTGGAAAGACCTGTAGTAGCCTCTGTTTTTTTCCAAAGGTTTGGTTTGGTTTTTCCCCACCACATTAAAATCAGAGCTGACAGCTGGAGGCACCTCTGTAGCCAAGACTTGGTTCAGAGCCATGGGGAAGCCAACCCATTAACACTGCAGGGTATCTCTTGAGTCCCACCATTGGCTTATAAGCATATTTTCTATAAGTTCCTAAAGAGCTGTGGTTTAAAAAAAGTTTCTTGTGGTGGTGTTTGTACCCCTTTGTATTCACACACTGTAATATGGGCGGGTATAGCTCAATAAGTACCCCTTACTAATAGACAGGTGTTTCTGTGTATTACAGCATTGCAGCCATATATGCTGTTCCGCTGTTCCAGATAGCTGCAGGTGTGTTATATCCCCCCACCTCCCCGGAAAGTTTCAGGCTTTTCTCGCTAGCAAACTGCAACTTGAGCCACCGTATTTTAAGACTTCTGGGCTCCCCAGTTCAAGAAAGACGAGGAACTCCTAGAAAGAGTCCAGAGGAGAGCTACCAGAATGATAAAGGGACTGGAGCATCTCCCCTACGAGGAAAGGCTGAGAGAGTTGGGCTTGTTCAGCCTGAAGAAGAGAAGACTGAGAGGGGATCTCATCAACGCATACAAATATCTTAAGGGCGGAAGTCAAGAGGACGGAAGCAGTCTGTTTGCAGTGGTGTCCAACGACAGGACTAGGGGCAATGGATGCAAACTGAAACACGAGAGGTTTCAGTTGAATATGAGGAAGAACTTCTTCACTCTGAGGGTGGCAGAGCACTGGAACAGGCTGCCCAGGGAGGTTGTGGAGTCTCCTTCTCTGGAGATATTCAAAGCCCGCCTGGATGAAGTCCTGTGTAGCATGCTCTAGGTGAGCCTGCTTTAGCAGGGGGGTTGGACTAGATGATCTCCTGAGGTCCCTTCCAACCCTTACGATTCTGTGATTCTGTGATTCTGTGAAGACTTGGCTAGGTTCTTTGTCTGCACAGGCAAAATGGGGTCACTCATCTAAAGACCTTCTAAACGACTGACAGTTCTGCAAAGCAAAGAGCTCTTGGCAGGGGGAGGGGTTGTACTAAATACAAGAGGTGCAGTCAGGTAGTAATCAGGTTTGGATTGGCGTTTTCTATGGGAAGGGAGGGGGAATCCATAAGAATAGACGTGGTGCTAATTGGACAGATGGAGTATACAGGCATAGGGATAATGTGTTACAGAACTGTAGGCCAAAAGGGAAGCAGCAGTCTGAAGCTCAACTGTGCAGCTTGTCCTTTCATGCCTGTTTATAAAATTAAAATAGAAGTATCTGGGCCTTTGTAGTTGTAAACAGGCTCTCAGGGACCTGCACTTTTTCTTCATCTTATTATGATGCTTCTGTTGTTTCCATCCATTTCAATTTTGTTTCTCAACGGAACAGCACATGCAGAGGAGGAAAGGTAGATTGTTTGGAGACTGGTATCACGTACTTTTGAGTTGCAGCTTCTTGTAGTCCTGTAAGACCCAATTTTGGAGTAGACCATAAGAAGGTGTCACTAGATGTTTTTCCAGTTTCGTCCTAAGACCTAAGGAGTGATTTACCAAGTGGACATCATAACACATGTGCACTATAGAGGTGGGAATTAAGAACATTCTTAATTTTTTTGCCTCCCTGCAGAGGTACTAACAAAACACTAGCTTCCCACGCCCTTAGGCTGTTTGCAGAGCCAATAAATACCCTGATCTGTGAAAGCAAGCGCCTAATGGGCCAGTGGGATGTAGTTTGCATTTCACAGCTGAACCTTGCAATTCATAGTTGAAAAGATAAGAGGATGCATCACTTCTTAGACTGAAGGCCAAAAAGTTAAAAGATGTAACCTGTGCTTGTACTGTGCTCTTTACTCATTGTTTTTTTTTTTCATTTAGGTTAGGCTTCAGTTTAGACCCAAGAGCTTGTTTGACCCTGACAGAAGCAAACTTTCATCCATTTGCTTGGAAGTCTACTCTGCTGGGAATGGCAAGAAATCTATCCGCAGCTTCCTCTAGGTTTGGCTTAACACCCAGAAGAGAAGTGAAAAACTGTCTTCTCAATGGAAGATGACAGCGAACCTGAGCAGAGCTCCTGGGCTCATCTACCTGATGTCTTCCTGAGGCACATCTTCCATTGGCACATCTTCCATTGGTTAAACAACATGGACAGATCTGGGGCTGCCTTGGTCTGTAAAAAAATGGCGTTGGGTGATGCACTCAGGATCCCTCTGGAGAAGCAGGACCATCACAATCTATGGCCAACCATCAAAGTGCACTATGGTATGTCAAAGAATTTAGCAAGTATTTGGAGCACCTTGAGATCAAGTTATCGAATCCTTACAATACTGCCTTTACCCAAAAATTTCAAGTGACTATGAGAGGTATTCTTTCACACCTGGGTAGGTATACCTGAGCATCAAGTACCTGGAATTAGACAGCTTGATCTGGAAAAGTGTGGTCAGGGCTCAGTTTATCAAGAACTTCCTGAAAAGAGTGAGCAAACAGCTTGATTAAAAGGAGCAAGAGTAACCTTGGAAGAAGGCTGTGAGCTTCTGACTTCTCTGAGCTGCTTGACAAATAAAAGCTTTGTATCTAAAATGAAAATCGAGGATTTCATCAGTCTCCACCTTCCTGTATACAGCAGCACCAAACTATGTCCAAGTTCCACAACCTGGTCACCCTGACTTTCAATTATAACTGCATCTCTGATGAAATGCTGAACATCCTGAGGGAGCACAGCACTCGTTCCCTGTGCACCTTCAATATCGAATGTCATATCCATGACCCTCTTAGGCAAGTGGTCCAGGGAATGTCATGAGCAAACTTGGCCAAGAGAGTCCCAAATCTGAATGTGAACTTTGAAGGAGTCATGAGGCATGATCATCTAGCCAGGATCCTGCTAGCAGAGATCCCAGTCAGGAGCATCAGTCTATGGAGCTGCTATTTCAGTGCCCCAGACTGGACGAGACCTACCCTCACCAACCTCCTCCCAGCCTACGGGCATGCTCTGCAGGTAAGGGAAACAATAGTGATATCTAAGCAAAGTAATCCTACAGACCTTGTGCATAACAGCAGTCATCAACAGAATTCCTGACTGCTTCAGTTTTATGTTCAGAGGGTTTTTTTCATAAGTGAGCCATTCCAGTGTTCCAGGTATAGTCTAGTTCAGGTGATTATCCTTGACCGGTTACAATCCCCATTTTGCTAGCTGCTGATGTCAGGTTGCCCTCATAAAAAAAATCTAATGCCAGAATACTGGTGGTTGTAATGTCAACTGTGAGCAAAAAGAACCTTTCAGGCAGGAAAATGTAATTTTTGTAAGAAAGCTTTAGGCTTATTCTGGTTAGACACCTTCATGTTTAGTAACTGATAACTTTCTTAGCCTTTCAGACTTTTCTGAACCCACCCTTTTGCAGGGAAATCTGGATATGAGGAAAATAGTCTGCACAACTTGTTTGCTTACAGAGCTGTAGCCCGCATCAACCTACACAGCTGCTTTTGCGCCATTTCAACAATGCACAGGTGTCTTACAGCACATGTAATGTGGTGCCCATGTCAAAGCACTTTGGTGTCACCAAATATATGTCACCAAAGGTGTGCAACAGCTGATCCGTGTAAATGAGCATCAGGTATTTGCATGCGTGAGGGAAGCACACAGCCTTATACGTGATGGTTGCTGACAGCTTTCTTTAAGTTCTGTTGTATTGCGGAGTTTCCAGTAAACAGCAGAGATCTTTAAAGCTTTCTAGAAATTGTCTTTGGGTCTACTATCATATCTAGGATAATTTCCAGTATGTCAAATAAGCTCATGGCTGAGCTGTAGGTGTAGCATCTTCTATTGGCAATAGACGTTGTCTGTCTCTTAGGATGGTATGTAATGCACAAGGGACCCCCTCAGCTTAATGGGAGAGTGGAGATTACTGTAGCGTCATAACACAAAAGTGATTCTCTGCTAATGTCAAGGTACAAAATGGATTTGCTGAGAGTCACTTCTGTTAGAAAAGCTGAGAAACTCTTGTTTATTCAGTTCTAGTTACTGCACTCACTAGCTCTGTTCAGTAGTACTAACTGTTCATTTCTTTCAAGAAATTAACATGTGAATTAAACGATGACCATGAGCTGCTGGACGATGAATCTTGACTCAGATGCAGTCAGATGCAGTATCATCTAGTGTATCAACAATCCCTACCACCTGTTAAGTTTGATATAAAACCTGTGCCTAGTTCTTAACAGCAGATGTTAAGAACAAAGCATACCATGGCTAGTCCTGAGAGCCACCCCTCGCACTTGCCCAGCTTTCCAACAAGTGACTTATGAGGAGACTCCTGCTCTAGCTTCCACAGCTTCTAGACCTTTAAATGGCAAAAGATATCATTGATTGCACACTAGATAGTAACATGGAAGAAGGGACATTTCTTCTTGTTCTGAAATTTTATTGCTAAGTGGGAGATTTCACCAGGCATTCTAGCAGATAGATAGCTGTGAAACACATAGCTGTAAGTACTAGGTCTGGTTTAATTACTGTGTACAACTAGAACCCAGATGGCATTGAGCCAAACCAATAAACCTGGAGGTTTGTCAATTAAATTTCAGCAGTAGCTGGCTCTCTGGAGCACACACAATCTCCCAGTATGATGGCTTCAGAAGTTGTTAATGTAAACAGACTCTCGCATTTGCATGCAGAGCACTTCATCAATGTACAACGTGTTCTCCTTGACCTGGATCTCCTCCTCCAAGGAAAGCTGTCGGCGGCTCAGACCTTTCAGCTCTGTCTCAGCCTCTGCCAGTGCATCCTTTAATCTAACAGGGAAAATACAGACAGATATTAGTTGAAAACACATGGATAGGGTTTTTTTTTTTCATATGTGATAAGAATTGTGAGGGGGAAAAAAAAAATATGGAAGGGGATTCACAGAGAGACAATATCCATGCAGCTTCCCTTAAGGGAAAAGCAATTCCCAACATTTCAGGGAGAATAGCTGGCACCCAATGTTACTTTGACTCATTAAATTAACCCAGTAACCTACACCACAGATTTTCCCCCCTTTCATAATTTCCACTTGCCTTTGAGTATTTTTTGTAATCTCTTGAACTTCACTAATCAGCCTGTATTGCACTGTGTCATAACACAGCTCCACATTGGGGCGATGGTTTCTTGCTTCCAAGCGGGTTTGAGCCACTTTAAGAGGGCCTTCTTTATCAGCAATTGCTTTCTTTAAGGCTGCAATGTTCTTCTCCTGTGAGGCAGTCTCATTCATCACCTTAACAAAGCCAACAGAAGGAAGTGCAGCACACTGTCTCTTAAAACAGGTGAAATCGTCAACATCTTCTTTAATGGTTACAGTAATAACACTCTCATTATGTTAAGATGTTATTTCGTCAAAGGATAGTTTACAAAGGTCAGCCAGGATTATGATTCCTTCATTGGAAAAGAGGTGACACTGCTCTGAAACTGGAGATTTAAGCTCAGCAATTAATTTTTAACATTAACACTCAGTTTTAATGGCTCAAATGTCAAGCAAGCTTAGCCTGATTGTCTAAGTTACCAGGCTCTTATATCACTAATCATGAAAATCCTATAGGATCCCCGACGTAACTAAAAATCACAAGGGAAATCCTGACTTTACTGATGTCTACAGCAACACTTATATCAAGTGAGTGATTCCAGAAATTCACCTCTCTAGTGGTGTATGCAGAGCTGTGAAAATAAAATCTAAGATGACTTAGATTGTGGCAGGGAGAATGTGGCAGGGGTGGCCAATATTGCAAAGGTAAAATTCTTAAAGCGAAGTAGCTCCAGCCACTGGATTGAGAAAACTGGTACATAACCCAAGACCATTGTTTCCACTTTTTTGCTGACTGTCCCCTACCACTTACCATTGCAAGGAGCGTCTCTAGCTTGTGCTTGGCATCCTTGACTTCCTTCACCCTATTTCTAAATGCGATGTTCACCATCTCACATTGCCTGCGCATGTCATTCGCTGTCTGTGAGAGGATGCCATCAATCAGCACCCTCAGTGCCAAAGAATTGTTTCTCTGCTTGTCAGCCTTTTCAACATTTATGTTTGAGAAATCTATCCAGTCTTCAGGGCTAACAAAACTGAGAGAGATTCAAAATAAAAGGTCATCAGCTGGCAGCATCAGGCCTCTGTGACATCATCTATCTATAATTACTCCACAAAATCAAGACCAAAGCACTACTATTAACTGCACATCCCAGCGAGTGCCAGTTGTGCTGGGAATTCTACAGATACAAAATAAAGACCCTCTCTGTTACAAGCATTTCAGAATGAAGGGTAGGATGGAAATGAATTTGCTAAAGTCACAGCTCAACTTTGTTATAACTTGCCTTTCCCCGATAAAGGATTGAGTTGTTCCGGGGGAAAATAACCACTCACACAAAACATTGACTTAGTCTCTCACACAGTTCACCACCAGTAAGACAGTCAGAGTGCCTGGTTGGAGCAGTAGTTGGGAAGCCAACCCCCAAGCGTATCCCCAGAATTAGAGGGTCATGCTTGCGCACCAGTGTCTTATGGGCAGGTGTTTGGAAAGTTCCTCCTTGTTTCACTGGGTGGGTATATAAAGCTGTAATGGTCATCTGCATACAGCAGCCAGCATCATTCTGGGTGCGGTCTGAGTTACACAGCCCGTTGTTGATGCACACCGATGTGCTAGCAGCAAGAGCTGTTAGCCTCGTGGTGTTCCAAGTTTGTCAGTTCTCGCAGAGCCAATGGTATATCTTAAGGGCGGAAGTCACGAGGATGGAGCCAGACTCTTTGCAGTGGTGTCCAGCGACAGGACAAGGGGCAATGGGTACAAACTGAGACATAAGAGGTTTCAGTTGAATATGAGGAAAAACAACTTTACTCGGAGGGTGACGGAGCACTGGAACAGGCTGTCCAGCAGGATTGTGGAGTCTCCTTCTCTGGAGATATTCAAAGCCCACCCAGATGAAGTCCTGTGTAACATGCTCTAGGAGAACCTGCTTTAGCAGGGGGGTTGGACTAGATGATCTCCCGAGGTCCCTTCCAACCCTTGTGATTCTGTGATTCTGTGTGTGTCCTTGGGAGGCTGTCTCACACACACACTGCTTCCTCAGTACGTGTCCTCTTTTCAGCTGTTCTTTTGTGGTAGCTATTTCTCCACCTAAACCATTCACACTAACTCACACAGAAGGGGCACATTTGACAGGTTAATGACTGAGTCAGAAACTGGCTCCACACCTCATGTGTCCCAGCCTAGCAGTCTCCCCACTAGGACACCCTGGGAGAGGAGAGGAAGTTAGGTTAGTAAATCTAGTCTAACTGAGCAACCTGATGTGCTCATTGCAGGGGGGTTGGACTGGATGACCTCCAAAGGTCCCTTCCAACCCAAAGCATCCCATGATTCTAGTCTGGGTCTAAGCAATGTGTGAAATTCTTAGCTAACTGTGAGCCTCAAAAACTTACAGTAAACTGCCGTTCACTGGGAACATGATTATTGTGGCTTATTTCACGGACATACAGAGATACTAAACTGATGGACAGACGTACAAAAAACAATCTACAACAAACAGATAATGGACAGATATAGCCCGTTTTACAAAAAAATTACTTTAATCTTGCTGTTACTGGAACAGCTTATACTAGCTGTATAACTATCATATGTTCATTGAAGTAAATAACCACTTACTTTCCTTCTATTTTCACTGTGTTATGAGCATAGCTGATATCAGGAGTGTTGTTTGTCAAGGTAGCACAGTAATCATCAATCATCAAAGCTGTGAACTTGTCCTTCAGATCCATTTCCAGGTTGTACTTTGCTGAACGGTTTAGTCTAGGAGGAGAAACAACCAGACTCTAAGCCAAAGTGTAGGCACGCACAGATGTCCCTAACATGTGTGCATATATGCATTAGGTAATACAAATGCTGTTATGGAATTCTTCATGTATGAACTGTTAGTTGCAAAGTCCCAACATCTAGAGCATGAAGCTGCCTCCATATAAATTGATGGTACAGTTCCCATTGGAATTAAAGGGACAGGACTGGATCACAAGAAGACCAGGGATCATGTGCAAGTACTTTGAGTTCTAACAAACAGAACTTCTCACCATTACTTGAGCGAACAGGATGAATTAGGACTGACATCCTGTAGCTGTTCAGCACTGAAGGTAACTTTGGACCTGTGCTCAGCCTGACCCTGCAACTTCTCAGGATTATAGCTGTCCTGCTTTTCAGCTAATCAGTATTCAGTTACACTCTTTGCCTCTGCACCTGATTTGCTCATTGGTTTGTTCCAATGTTCGTCCAAGCAAAGCAATAACACCCTGGAGGACTTCAGCTTCCTTCACCAGTTCCTGTTCCACTTCATCATGCACCAAGTCAATACCAGCTCGCCTCTGCCTGAACAAAGAGAGGAAAAGCCATCAGCCACAAATGCCTGCAGCTGACAGAAGACATTGAAGCCTAGCGTTCCAGATTGAAGGCTCTTCCTTGCCACACAGGAAGTTTTTCCTTTGTGGCCTTGGTTCCCCAGTGTTCTAACACCTAAGTCAGACTGTGACTCCACTGCAAAGAGAGGCGGGCCCTTAGCTGCAGCCTTTTTTATTATTTGTTAAAGGTTCATTACCTAGATTTTCTTAATCATCTCACCTGTTCAGGAGACACTTTTGGGCAATGATGAGCGGCTCTTTGCAGCTCTCCAAAGATTTCTCCAGCCTAGTCTTGAAAGTCAACAGTACCTCTGTCTCATGAACAATTTGTTCAAGTTTATTATCTAATTCTTGCTTCCAGAATTTTATTTCTTCTTGCCTCTGTTCTGCAGAATGAAAATTGCCAACAGGTATTAATACAAGCCCATCTTATATGCCAGAGCACTGTGGGTCAGATCTTCGATATGGCTAAAAATAGACTTATTCCATAGTGGAGCGCATGTAGTATTGCGGGCTGATGTGTGGAGACAGTTTTGCAACCCTGTGTCAGGAGGTTTGGTTGGACTAGCTTTCTGTGTGTTTTGTTGAAGTAATGTATTTGTTATAAAATAATCTGCCTCGCAATATTTTTTAAAATAGTCTGAATTTTTCCATGAGATCAGCGAGCATGGAATTGACATATATGCCTATTCACTATTAACTAATTTTCCAAGTCCATCTTAAACATATAGCTCAAATAACACATTTTGACACTTGCAGAACACATGGGATTACCTATTTTCTTGTTGACATCACTTCGGGTTTTCTGAGTTGTCTTTTCTATTTCATCCAGCAACCTCCGACTCTCAGTTGTCGTGCGCTGTGACCTGGATTTCTGAGCCTCTGTACTGGCACACTGCATCTTGTTTGCAATGTCCCATTCTGAGGGATGAAACTTGGGCGGAGCTTGCACCAGTCTGGCCATTGATTTTTGGACAGTTTCTGGATAGAACACAGGTCAGTTCTTGGAACATGGAACCTGAAAACAGCAATAGCATTAGATTTGGCTGAGAAGCAAGAAGGGGAGAAGAGAGGTCCATGATGGTGAGAAAAATCCTTGCCCTATTTAGCTGCAAAATGACACAGGTATGAAAAGAAAAGACTTTTTGCTCAAGGCTCCTCCCCAAGACTTTGCTATCCTGTGGGGGAGAGAGTTTGGAGTGGGAGAATGAAGAAAGAGAAGAATTTGGGAGTGGAAGCTAGGAGGAAAGAGGCTTGAAAGTGGAACTGAGAGGAAAAGATGGGATGTCTGTGATAGGAAGGAGAACAGACGGGAAAGGAGACCCATGAGGAAGGACAGAATTACTAAATGGACAATCACAGAAAATTGAGAAACAGTGAAAATATACAGAGATAAATAGTCTCTCACAGGTTGGAGAAGTAAACACCTTTTAAGAATATGGCTGGAGAGGTGGATGAACTCTAGGTCGTAAAAAAAGAAATGTAAGAGTCATTAAGAAAAAAGAAGACAGAGAAAACAGGACCTAAAAAGCTAAAGGAAGAAATACAGCAGGTGAGGAAAAGGAAAAGCCTAGGAAAGGCTAGAGCAGGACGAAGCATACTGGGGACACTGGTGCAGTGTAGGGCGAGAGCCATGCCCAATGTACAGGCAAAGTCACAGCAGTTTGATCCTCTCCTGTCCTTTTATTATGCTCATCCGGAGTTCCTGAGACAACTCCTCGCCCCTCAACAGCACACGGCTTTGCCCACGCTGCAGCGCAGGCGCCCTTAAACCGCCCCCTCCCCAACCCCCTGGGCCTGGCCGACGCTGCTCAGGCCCACGCTGCTCCCAGGCCCGGGCTGCGCCCCTCGTCCTCACCCGGGGGTGCTCCCAGCGCTCTTCCAGCCGCACTCTCCAGAGCGGCAGCACGTAGTTCCTCCAAAATGCGTGCCTAAATATTGCAGGGGTCGCTCCCAGCAGCGCGGAAGGGAAACAAACCGGTTGCTATGGGAGCAGCAACAGCAGCAACACCACAGTGCACACAGAACAGTGGCGCTTCCTTTCACCTAGGCCCAGTTAAGATCTGTCAGGAAATAAAAACATGTTCTTTATACATTAATTGAGATAGGTAGTTCCCACAGCTTTGGACAGTGTTTTTTGATCGATTTATGGCAGAATGCATAAAGATTGTGAAAGCAAATTAAAGCAGGATGACAAAATGATTCGTAATGAACTGAAATCCTGAGATAGCTGACTGGCAGTTGAGAACAACAAATGTCTTAGTTTCTGAAAATGTGCTCAGCCCCTTTGAAAGCTGAGGAATCCCTGAGTGATGGTCCTCCAAGACATTGCGAGACCTGTGGGACTTCACGCAGTTTTGTTCTGAAAACCCAGTATCTGAGTCTTTCCTGACCCAAATCGTGAGCGACACCATCATAAAGTAATTCATTTGTAGTTACCAACCCTAAATCTGTTCTTAATTTTTAGCGTACCATACAAGATTATTTAATTTTAAACTGTTAATACAAAATTTACAACTGATACTTCAATATCAATTATATGATGGAAGAAAGTTTTATTTTTACCTCAGATGGTTCTCAGGGGTTAAATCGTTGTAGACTTCCTCAGGCTGACAACACTGTTTGCCAAATAACAGAGGTAAAAATCAACTCAGCAATTAGGACAGTTTAGAAAGGAATGAAAGTGGAAAGGCTTGCTAATTCCTGAAAATCTCTGTGCTGCTGAAAGGCTGTGCACATACTACATCCCATGCTAGTGCCTTTATAAAGGATTTTACAAAGGAGCAGTTCGTCACCTTGGTGACTTGTGTCTGGATGTCAAAACTGGGTTTGTTATTTATGAAGAAGTGGCCAAGTCCTCAGAGTCTGGAAAAAAAATGTTTTCTGTAGAGGAGTCTAAATAAGCAGCATTAATCTGAATTAAATGTGTTGCCATGTTCCTTATTAGATGCATTAAAAATACCATAGATAGATAGTCTTATTCTTCAGCGGATTAAACTGTCATCTGAACTGCTGTGAAGAGGCAAAATTCTCTAGGTTGAACTGATACTGCAGCACCATTAACTCCTTGCTTTCAACATTGCTGAAACTGCAAAGCAGACTAACATAACAGGTCTGAATTCTGGTGTTCCGCTGATGTCCGGAATACTCTCCTACGAAGAAAGGCTGAGAGAGTTGGGGCTGCTCAGCTTGGAGAAGGCTCTGGGGAGACCTGATTGCGGCCTTTCAGTACTTTTAATGGAACGTCTAAGAAAGATGGGGACAAACTTTTTAGCAAAAAAATGGTTTTAAACTGAAAGAGGGTAGATTTAGACTAGATACAAGGAAGACTTTTTTTTTTTTTATGATGAGGGTGGTGAAACACTGGCACAGGTTGTCCAGAGAGGTGGTGGAGGCCCCACGCTTGGAAACATTCAAGGTCACGTTGGACGGGGCTCTGAGCAACCTGATCCAATTGAAGATGTCCCTGTTCAGGGCAGGGGGGTTGGGCTATATGACCTTTAAAGGTCCATTCCAACCCAAACCGCTCTATGATTCTGAGGCTTTATCTAGACATAGAGATATTTTAGCACAATCAAAAGTGGCTTTTAAAGGTACCTTACATAAAGCATTGCCAACTTTCATTTGGGACACTTTTAACACTGTCTCTGTAAGCCAGGCCAGCTTTAAATTAATGACACAGGTTGAACCATATGGGCTAGTTTTATATCTAATCATATATATCCAAGAATTCGCACTGTTTTGAGCACATGTTTAGATTAAACGCTTTATTGGAAATGTTACACAAAGGGAGAACTGATGAAAGGCATCCATCCAATTATTGTACTTTCAAGGACGAGAACTTCCCTGCCATGGCAAGCTGTATGCAAACATAACTTTTAAAAGTAGGTGATGTGTCTGCTGAGATTATTTGGAAAATCTTGCACAGAACCAATTGATCTAGCCTTTAAAAGTAGCATCAAGTGTCCAATAAAGCAACCTTAGATAACAGTGCAGAAATATTAGAAAAGCCAGGAAACAGTCCATCTGTGTAAAACATAGTATGCCAACTTAATATATTGTTCTCTTTATCACTCGTGCTAAACACATTCACTGTCATATATACACACACACTCTCTGCATTTATTTTTTTTTAACTAAAAATACTAAAAAATCCAGCAGGGGGCATACATTACCTACTTTAATTTCAATTTAATCATACAATCTAATAGTCAAGGTTACTCACATAGATCAGTCTTCTTAATGCACAAAGTTGTAGGTTTTTCTAAATTTACGCCATAGCACCATCTCCCTTATCTTCTCATGCATGAACCACCAGCAGTTAAAATCAGCTTATGGTCTTCCACTCCCCTGCAGTTTGCTGGCAAGTACCAGGTATCTTTACTACCACCTCTCTGAAGTGAGAAGATTTTAGAAAACCTGTACAAATTGCTTCTGGGTAGCTATGAAAACAAGCTAAACTATGGAAAGGATCTGAACCCCCCTTGAGAATAAGGCAATAATTTTACTGTCTAAAACTTCCTTTATATAATTGTTTGCTACTGGGCCTTAATTGGCCAAGGGCTTACCTGTGTCTTTAGCCCTCACATCACACAGGAAAAGCATCCATGACCTGGGACTGTGAAGAAATGTGATGTATAAAGGCAGTATTGCCTCTTTTGTTGTAGCTATGATGGAACCTGACTCTGCTAGTCGATGAAAAGGATTCTGCTGTAAAAATGTGAATGCATGTATCACGTGTGCCAGCTGTGGACAGATTTCGCATCATGCTTACTCTAATCGCTTCTCCAAAATACAAGTACAGTGTGTTTGTCCTTGCAGTGCATTTGGTGGAGCAACACATGCACACTTCTCAGAATTCTGGTCATTCAAGATAAAGTAAAAAACTGAGGACAGTGGCAGTCATATGACATGCATGAACAGCCCACCCAACCTCTGTCCACCTGCATTAAAGCTGTGAGATTAGCAATACCAAGCATCCTGCTTGACAACTATCTCTCGGGTACTTACATTAAGACATGTATGTAAAAGTCTTTCCAAACTGTTTCCACAGTGTCACAGCAGCAGCCTAGCTACACTTCAAACAACTTGATGATCCAGACCTTCAGCAGTTAACTTATACTTTACCTTTGTATACTTCTGGTGTTTTTTTTTGGGGTTTCTCCCCCCCCCCCCCCCCCCGAGACTGCTAACAAAGTGGTTGCTTCATTCATGGTTTCTTAAGTAAACTTCATTAGAAAGGGAGGCTGAACTAAAAACCTATTCCAAATGCCACTGAACAACTGTACCTTTTTAAACTGAAATTCAGAGCACGCAACATCATGACTAGAACAAAAATCTTCTAAGCAAAAGCTCTGGGTTCTTTTCACTGATTTTACTTTGTTACCTGTCACTTCATTCTAAAGAGAAGCAGTATATCTGAAGAGCGTTTGACTTATTTTATTATAAATGGCCATCAGTACAGAACCAAAGTAATCTTTATAAATATCTACAAAAAGCACAAATGCAGGTTAAAAAACATTCTCTAGCATGAGCAGAGGGCTCCTGGCTTTCCGTTTTTACTTTCAGTGGGCCTGTTCTTAGGGAAGAAATAATTTTACAAGGCTTTTTTTTAAGTACGCTTTTCTAGTGGTTTTGTTTTTAACATTCACTGTGAAGACAAAGGTCTGTTGATTTATCAAAGAGAAGACCAGAAAGGGTGACCCATGACCTTTTTGTCCTGAATAATCCCACTGTATTGTGATTTTTAACTCTAATTTAACTGAAAACAGAAGCTACTCCAAGGCATTTCAGAACTCCCACATCATCATACTTCTTTGGCATCTTGCCTCTCCACCTCAGAGTCACCATGAGGACTGCGCAAGTTGTAAAGACTTCATTCCTGTCCACACTGGAGAGTTGCTCTCCCCTGGAGCACAGGTCAAGGCACACTACAATCTTGCTTCTATTACAGCTGTCCAGAGGATTTTGTACCTTGCTAGCCCCCCTTTGCTGTAATCCTAAATCATGAGAACACACAATCTTATACATAGAACAGCCCCAGCTGCTGCTATTCATCATGATCAAGAAATTAATCCAGACTGCCAGCAGAGGCTTTAGCAAGCCTCTAAGCAAATCACTTTACATTGGACCATTACAAACACTGTTGTGTAACATGGTAGTTATCTGTCACCCCAGTCAGCATGTAAGAGGCAATGTTCTCTTTCTGCTTTAAGAGAATAGAACAATACCTGTTTGATATGTGTGTGTGTGCATGCATGTATGCTGGAGTGGGGGGTAGGGTTGGAGGAGAGGCAATATTGCCCTAGTGGTTGAGTACTCTAGGTTGTTATTTGCCAGATGGAATTTTCCTCATCCATCTGCTATTTCTTTTGTGCTATGCTCAACAGAGAAGTGGAACTGACGGTGCTATCTTCTGGAGTTTTACCTGCATTTTAAGAGAGAACACCTTCATAGCAGAGTTACCTATCACTGCATAAAACTGTGTCCCCAGCCTAACTGATAGGAGCAGCAAATTAGCTTCTTGTGATCTTTAAACACAAGAATATTAAAAATCCAACCTACTACTAGCACCAAAATGACAGCATTTGCCTTTCCCTGTATTTTTTTGTCTTTTTCAAACATATTTCTGTATTACAGACATGCTGATGTGATCAACACTTTGGGGCGCTGCTCAGCAACACTTCAGTCAGCCAGCCACGCAGTTGAATGTAGGCAAAGGAACAGTAGAAAGCAAGAAATAACACTGCATTCCATTTGCAAAATGTCACTTTTTCCATTAGCATACTGTACTTGACCCTTCTGGCTGGAGAGGCATCGATGGTTTTATTCAAAGCGTCGTAGATGATTGTATAGAGACTGGACATAGGTGAAGACACACATGGGATCTGGCTTGCGACCCATCACCATCATGTCATCCACTTCTATCAGACGATCACAGTGAGCCATTTTCCTGTAGTAATAATAAAACAGATACAGCAAATCAAGAATTAAATCTGAGGCCTGTAACTACTTCCAAGATTCATTTGCTGCTCTGATTTGAGCATCATTGAGGCATTCAAGAAATCCTGAGATATATCAGCAACATTTCATTTCACAATGAAATGGTCAGGCTCAGGTTGGAGATTGTAATTTTTGTGACCGTGGAATATTCCTGTTCTTTCCCCGTCTTCCTCTATAATGGGATCTCATCCAAAGCCCTGTAGGGTTTTTTTTTCCCCACTGACTGCCATTCACATCCCTTATATCTGTAGCATGTAGCCCAATCTCACATTCCTCTGCCCAAGTCTCAGTCAGCAGGGTCATGTAAGTTTGCAAATTGAGTTTTTCTGGTTGCTATACAGGAAGCTCCAAAAGAATGAGAAGAGATGAGATGTGCCAATGAAGGCCCATGTGGCTGTGGCTTGTTTGTTCTCCACCACCCCCATATCTTCAAGGTGTGAATGACTTGGACAACAATCTCAGATGACCAGGTTTGAGAGCAGAAGCCTGACTGAGATCTGGACCAGTAGAAAGGAACAGATCTGCTGAGGCCTAGGATGAAAAAATCACAAGAGCAGGAAGCAATCTGATCAGCAGAGCTCATACTGGGGTGAACAGCAATAATTGAGAGCAGAGCCTTTTCCAGCACCAGAAGAGAACAGTTTAAAGGTAATTGCAACTCTGCAGTAGTACTTTCTGTAGGTAACTCTTACCTAATGTTTCTTACTGTTGCATGCATGCTGTCTTCTGTTCTCCCCATACTTACTGTTACTCATAAACTGAGATAGAAAAACACTCCAACTTTCCTTTAAGATTTGTAAATAGTTTTACTTTAGCGATCAACCATCTAAAGTGTCATAGAATCTCTTTCAACTCACTGACAAGCAACAAAATTTTTATATATACATAGATGTGTGTGTGTGTGTGTGTGTGTGTGTGTGTGTATAAAAACCTTGTAATTCCCAAATGAATTCCTTTGCTAGGGGCTGTAATAAGGAGAGCCGACATTATGCTAAGAATTTTCAAAGCTTTTCTCTGGAATGATAAATGGCAAATCCAGTTCTGTAAGTTATTGCTTTAATTAAAAAAAATAAAAAAATAAATAAATAAAGGCACTCAAAGAACCCCAGAGCTTCAGTGCGGTGGTATTGGTATTTGAAGCTGTATCAGAAGGTGCAGGGAACTGTAGCCATGTATTCCAACATCCTGTTAGTATGCGGAAAAAAAAGAGTGTACCAAACCCAGCCGCATACCACGTGAAGGGCTCTTACTGTTATACAAGGCAAAGAAAACAGCAACAATCATGTTGATACTGGGTCAAAAATGTTACTATTTCCAGCTGACAAGTTCACACTCATAATGACTTTAACAAACAAGTTACCATTTAATCGCCTGGTATACTGCATCGAAAAGGATCAGGACAGTGTGACTGAGGGTATTAGCTCTGTTTTACAAAAATGCAGTTACCAGGTTGAGATATTGAGAAGCTCTCAGCCTTGATCTAACTCTACTTACACTGAATTCAACCTTCATTCTTGTTCAACCAAAGCAACGCACAGACAGAGGAGAACCCTCCCACAAAACCTGATTCCAAAAATTAATCTACTTTCTCCCTGCCCTTCAGGGGTCATGGTTTTTTTCCAGAGAGACTGGATGGATATATTAACATGCCTCAAATTCAAATCAAGTATCAAGCAGGTGGGATTGGCTAAGACTACTTTTATAAAACTACGAGTTTTATGTCCAGTTACTATGGGCTGTCAGTAAGCATTGACTGCTTTGTGCTCTATGAACAACTGTCTTTTTAATGATTGATATCAGCAAATTCATTAAGAATCATTCATTACTTCAAGGACAAAATAATAAAAAAAAAAACCCAACAAAAAACAAACACAGAGAGAAGTAGGGTTTTTTTCCTCTTCTTTGTCCAAGCATAACTCATGAGGCTCATTTCTCAAGTTTAGTGTGTCAGTGCTAAGGCTGACGAGAATCAGAGGTGAGAAAGCAGAGTTCAAGTACTGCCTGAAGACTCTGAAAGACCTGAACAGGGGACTCCAGTGAATTATCCTGTGCCTGGTAAAACCACCTCTGATTTTAACTGCTGAGTCTCCTGTTTTATGCCTTCTCTGTGCAGAGCTTTATTATCTTCTGGCATGACACATGTAAGCTAGTGATATGGGATCTACAAGAACAATTGAACTCTTCATAGCCACATTAGACTTGACCTGGAAGCACTTCACAGCGATCTAATGTGATACTCACTCAGCCATGGTGAAGGCCAGCTCAAAGTTCTGCTTGCGATTAGCTGGGTCAAGCTCATTATAATCAAAAGCTTCAGGAAAGAAAGAATGCACAAGAGCACAGAATGCCATCCCATCATTCCAGCTTGAGGAGAAGTTCTGGAGATCAATGTGCTGTCATGATGAAAAAAACCATGCATGTTAATGCAGCACAGGGGGATGGGGAAGAGCAGCTGCTTTTGCTCACTGCAGTTTTCCGTCCTTCTCTCCCACTAACCAAAGCAACAGGGCACAGGCTTTATGTTTTACTTCCCCTCTTCGTATATCCATTACATTATTTGTATTCTGAGAAAACACAGCATGCTCAGCAATGAAAGCCTTTGGCCTGAAATGCCCAGATGCAAAGCATTCACACAGTCAAGGTCCCTGATCCAAAGCCCACTGAAAATACACCAGTGAGCTCTGGAGCAGGTCCAATGCACCAGCTCAGTATCTGCGGAAACTAAGGACACTGCTTATCCCTCTAAAGTATTTATAATTGAAGAATGGTTCATTTTGTAGCTGTGAATAATACTAGATAAAGACTATGCTTGCTTGCTTTGCTTTTGAGTAAGGCCCAACTCAATACCTGTTTACACACAGATAGGTAGAAATATAGGAAGAAATAAAGGAAGAATTATGCCTACTGCAAAACCTGACTCTTGGAACAAATACTTGTTACTTTCAACTGCCACCGTGAAAAGAAACACATTTGGGTTCTTGTCTCATGCTGCCTTCCCATCATACAAAATTCAAGCCCCAGCTTTTCTGGTAAGCAACTAACAGTAACTTTCACTAGTTCTGCTTTATGTATACTATAATTTTGAGTTCAGCAATAATAATGCAGGTTTTACAATAATATTGAAAAACATATTACACAAAAAAAAACCTAGAAAAAAAATTCCCTTTCATCTGGAAATTGCTTTGGCAATTGCAGTTTAAGGCCAGGTAAAATGACTAAAATCTCAACTGCTGAATTCTTTTAGCTACTCTGATGTTACCTCATAGAAATTAGCTCACTAACACCGTGTGATTCAACTTCAACCATTTACTAAAAATTCAGTTGTCTGATACCAATAGAGAGTACTTTGGTCTGCTGTGTAACAAAAGGCCCGTAGTCTCCATGTACAGGCAAAATGTTATTCAGATCTTGCCATATATATTGAGAATGCAAAAACTGGAGCCTGCAACTAAGAAAAAAAAATGTGTGAGTGCATACTGAAGTCTATATCCACAAGCACAGAAATGTAGGCTTTCAGGCAAACACTAGTGCATTGCTTTGATACACATACAGAATCTCACTCATGCAATCACCGACTGTCTTGAAGTGCTGCCCATGCAAACCATGATGTTTGCATTACCCACACAAAACTTGATGGCCTTGAGGAAGTTAACTCATTGTCTAGCATGTTTTACATTCACTTTTTGAGTATGCTTTTTTGGCAAATTCTCCTGAAAGAGAGAGAGCTGAAAGTGCTAGCACGTCTTCACCTTGTATCCTATGGTTTTTGAGCGACACCAGTCTAACAGAATTTGTTTAATGCTGCTAGCGCTGGCAACCCCAAAACTCTGCGACCTCTTCAGCTTAGCTCTGGATTCTCCTTTTCCTCTGGAAAATTAACAGAGACCAGATTAAATTACATTCTAGAAAAACTTAAACCTACTTGTCAGTCACACCTATGCAACCTTGCCCAGGTCAGCCCCTGTCCAGGTGATATTTGAGAAACACGTTGCTGAAACTTCAACTTGTTGGTCCTGCAAGAAAAACTCATTTTCATTTCACTAAAGCCAGGATTCCAAGCCCTCTTCTATTTAAATCATACCCCCACCGTGGTGCATAAAGAACAGTCCACATTTCTGGTCCTTAACAAATGGCAACAGAAAGTCGCTACATTCCCAGCCTCTTATAATGACAGAGAAGGCAGCTTTCACAGCCCTCTTTCCTGATAAAAGGCACCTGCTTCTTCAGCTGAACAATTCCAAAGCCAGAGGAATCTGTAGCTGTGAATTTCCAGGGCTCAGTCTGTGAAATCAGCAAAGCTATACGTGACCTCATATTGTCCCTTTGCTCAAAATCTTACATTGAGAGAGTCCTCTCAACCAGCTGTTCTTTGCTGGTAATAATTGACAAATTAGTCTCCCATTAACAAACCCATTCTGGAGACAAAGGGTGTGACGTACTTTCCACCATCATGTTCCCATTTCTCAAAAAGCGCTTTCCTGGCCTGTGTTTCTGAAGTCCGTGGGAGCGTCTGAGACCGCACCAGTTCTCGCCTCCTTTCAACGTGGCGATGTACAGTGGGAGGAGAGGAGCGAGAGCTGGGGGTGCCATCACAGTAACTGTCAGTGGCACTGGAGAAAGAGAACAGGAAAAGTATGTGGTTAAACAAAAAAGTAACTCTCTGCAGTGCCAGGAGTCAGCATAAAGGTCCAACTGCTGCCTACTCTAAACCTCCCAAAGAGCCATTTCAAGAGGACCTGAATGAGTCAAAAGCAATTTAAGTAAAAGTCAATGTTTTATTGACAGACAACAACATTTAAGTATAGAAGAGTCTAAGGTACTTCTACAAATGAGACACAGCTGGACAAGTCACAAATGCTTGGTAGCACTAAGTAGGACAACAATTAAACACCTTTGAGAAAAAAAAAGAAAAAAAAAAAACAACCTGTGGCCACACAGGTAAATTCCTTGAATTTCTAACTTCGGGGTTTCTGGAGGGTAAATCACATTTTAAAAATGGAACTTGCAGAGTAATTCAGGAAGTACTTTGGAAATTTTAACTTATAGTAGGCAGAATCCTGAGCTCATGCCAGTGTTGCTTCACTGACCTCAAGCTGGTAATTTGATTGAGAAATAAAGGAGTATATATTCTAATTTGTGTTTATCTGAGACATGAACCACTTCAGCATTCATGAAGTAAGCCACATATCACATTTGGAAATGTTCCCCATGACAGAGATGAGGAAACTGAGGTAAAGAGCAATGACATCAGTGTCACACATTAACTTCTGTTACAGATGGAGGTCAGATCTGACAGCAAGTTCTCTAGGGTGCTCAGTGTATCATGACTCAAATATAGAAGCGCTGATGTTGGAACTAACTCTGAAGAAATGTATTGCCAAATTTGGGGTAATTTTCAAGGCAGATGCAAGCCCAATTTCAGAGATTTAAGTTGGCTGCCCTCCCATTTTTCTTGATGGATATTTTGCATGCCGAGGATGCCTGGATATGCCAGTAGTAATTGTGATACCATGTAATCCTACACTGAGCAACTGCGACTCCGAGTTAATCAAGAATGTGTAGTAGTCCTCAGTAAGGAATTTATCTACAAACTAAACTCTAGGCTAGCCAAACTAAGGATGTTTGATGGCAATCATATGCTGGTTTCCAAAAATAAGCTGAAAGTATAAATTTCAACACAGCTGAGTATTTTTAAAAGTGTTTTCAAAGGGCCTGACAACTTGCTTCTCCTAACAAAAATCCACCACCAGCACTGCGAGTTTTACTAACACTGTAACAATGCTGAAATCCACAATTAGGTCTGCTTTAAACTGCTCTACAGAAGATTTTTATCCCTTCCCATCTCTGTTGCACTTAGCCCTCAGGAAAGCTCACAACCTTTAATGGGCTTAAAATACAGCATCTGGAACTCACTTGTTCTCCAAGCCAGAAGAACACCTGTCCCTTGAGACTATACTGACCATAATAGCCTAAAAAAATGCCAAGAAAAATGCGTACCGTTCACCAGTTTTGGTTCCACTACTCGTCCCATAGCTCACAGTTGAGACAGACTTAGTGACAGAAGTGGTATTCTCTGTATAAAAGCAGGAAAAACAAGATGTATCAGAGCAGAAACTTCTTTTATCTCCTCTCCTCATACACGTTCAAACCATTTCCTGATAGATAGCCATGCATTGATTTTTACTCACCACAGTGAAAGGCTGCAGGCCTGTATCTAACTTCCAGTATGAGCTAACAAGCTGGGGAGGGGTTTTCCCCAGGGGTTCAGGCCCTCTGCAAACTTGTTCCATTGCAGCAAGGATGGTGTAAACATACCAGAAAGGGCAGTGAGAGGATGCCTTTGCTAAAACTGCATTGGGAAGGTTGGATCATTTCAGGCCCTTGTGCAAACCTCAGAGGAAGGCACGCTGCCATGGACATTTCAGTGAAAGGAAGAAACGGTGCTACAGCTCAGCTTGCAACAGTCATTCTGGGAGACATAAGGAATCCTGGGAAGTCTGCCGTGATTGAGAGCATAATTTAAACTACCTAATTTCCACCAGGAAACATTTTTAGTTCGTAAATTAAAACAGCCTCCAAAGGTTGCAAAAGTGGCTTAAAAACCAACTTTGCATGTTCCTCCCCCAACCCCTGAGGTTTTACCTTCTGTGCTTTGCCTCTTAGAGGCCAGCTCTGGACTCCAGCTATGCTCTGTAAATGCAGAACAACAGAGTGGCTTGCCCAGTAACACACTAAAGCCCAATCTTGTTGCATAAGCCAGCGACTCATTTATTGAAGGCTCCTTCTATACACAAAGAAGCAAGACTGGCATCTTAGAAGCAATCGAACTTGATCACTGTCCAAATCACTCTCTGAAAATGCTGAACTCTCCCCACTGCTTATAGGAGGGATCCAGACCAATTAGACTTCTCATGTAAAACACCCTGGTAAATACCAGCATACAGATGTTGAAAATTTGGGACCACAAACAATTGCCAGATATTTGTGCAAATCTCAGAGGTCTTAAGCTGAGGAGATATGTGATCCCTATTCTGGGTGAGCTACATCTTTGCTAAACTGACACTTGAGACCACTGTGAAATGCCAGTACATTGTGTAGACAGTTACAGCTTGGTGACATCAATCAGAAGTACTTTTGGCTAGAGCTCAACTCATGTATTTCACCTGGTATCGAAAATCCTTAAGGCATTTTGTCCTTTGGCACATTCATATATGAAGGAGACCACTTACTGCTATTCTGCTCAAAGGAATTTGCTTCAACATCCATAGGGCGGGCCTATCGCTTTCCAATGGACATTACCTTGCGTTCAGTCACAGTTTTCACTTAGTCAGCTGAAATCTTCACTGTTCAAACTGTCTATTCTGACACACTTTTCTGGCACCCATTGTTTCCACTGCAGAGATTGCCTAACGGTACGCATGTACACCACTGTGCAAATAAGTACCCCTTGCTTTGAACTGATTGAGAATCTGATACAGCAGAACAGGTTTCCATGATACCTGGGAAACTGAATCTGCATGCAGTCTTGTTAGCAATTTCAGTATTACCTACGAATTTCAGTGTACCTACAAATCTAAACTATATGCTCACATCTGAATTCCCCAGACACAGAGCATGGAATCCCTTTCAGTTTGTGTTGCATAAGGACATGCTAACAGGAACACTCACCTCCAGTGGCAGATGAACCCACTGTTCTCACCGTATTTGAATTCCAGGCCTTCACTGAAACAACAGAAAAAAAAACAAAAACAAAAGGAAGGCTTTGCTACATTCTTAGCTTTAATAAGATAAAAGTTGAAAGAATAATCTGCAAATAATCCCTATCTCTTGCTGGCAATTCCATCTGGTCTCTCTCTGTAATTTCTGACCCATATATATATAGTCTGATCTGTAAGTGTCACTATCACTAAATGTATATGAAATACAGTTTAAAGATGAATAACTTCAATATGAATGGGATTTCTTTTTTTTTTTAAATTCAATTTAGATATAAATAAGATTCTGCGATTACGCTGACTTATGCATATATGTGTCAGTCATTCCTCCCTCCCAATGACTGTTGAACCCATTAGCCAAATACCTGCCTAGCTTCTCAGAGGGCCTCAGGTCTCAAAGCACTAAAAACTCCTGCAAATTTCATTAAAATAGCTGGCCACATTGAAGAGATACTTATTGGTAACTGTGCTAGAAGACAGGCTGCACTATGAAATTAGGCAGCAAAAATTCTCGGCAGATGTGACAGTATAGCCTAAAGCTCTACCTAGGACCCACAATATTCTAAATCAGAGTGTCCCGCCATAGGATATGTAGCCATGGAAGCAAGGTTTCGTAATAAGCACTAGATCACAGGACAATCCTTGCAGCACCAGTTTCTTGAAGTAAAGAAATGGAACACAGCTGCAGCAAACAAATTATTTTTGTTTCTTTTACCTGACTGGTTGGAAGTTTTCACTGCCGTCGCATTTTTGCTCTTGCTCTGTCCCAGCAGGCCGGCAGATGCATTAGTTGCTCCTGTTGAAGAGATGGTCTCTCCTGAAAACTTCTCTGATATCCTGGTTACTGCAGTAACAGGAAGGTGGGGCATCTGTAAGGTGACTGCAGGGGCATGGGCTTCGGGGGAAGAGTCTGACAGGTGAAAAGAGGTCAGTTCCTGGGAGACTTTTGCTTGACCTAGTGAATAAAAAGGAGAGAGGAATTAGATTTATTTGCAGATTTGTAACAAAGCTACAAACCAATTTCCATGCAACAACCCTACTGTAAGTGGTCCTTGCAGCCATCATACCTGTCCTACATGAATTCATCAAGAACAACTTCTTCAGATCATTAATCCACTAGCTTCTGCATTTGGTAAGCTCCTCCTCTTCCTCTGAGAAGCCCCTGCCCCCAATCTCCTGCCATGGGTTAGGAGTCAGCATTCTTGTCCTTTTCATGGTCTTATGAAATGACATGTGCCTCAGTTTTCTATAAATGGAGATAGTAAATCCATTCTCCACTGAAGGGTGATGGAAGTGGACAAGTAATTTGCAAAACATTTTGGGATGCAAGGCTACAGTGGCACCCAGAATAGCTGGCCTTATTATCATCAGTGCCCTAAGATAACATGACACCCTCCAATTTATGAAACACCATAGTGCATGCTTAACAATAAAGTTTGAAAGTTATACTCCTAATCAGGAAATAAACGGTATCAGTGCCACAGTACAATATCCATGCTGAAACCATAGCAGATTCTAATGCTTCCACCATGTGAGAGCTGTTCTAGGACTGCCAGGATCAGGTATTTCACAAGTAGTGCTACTTCATTTTGTGCCCTGTTCCTACCTGATGAAGACTGATGCCCATTTTCAATGATGGAAGAACTAAAAACTCTTCTAAACTCAGGTTTGCGGCGGTCATCCAGGTCTACACTCTGTCAGAACAGATAACAGACATGACAGCTAAATTTCAAACAGCAGCAAGAATACCTGTAACACCTGCCAAGAACAGGTATTCCTTGTGCTAGTGACCACAACACAAGAAGGGAACAATTATCTAACCCCAAGAGCCAAACCTGCAAACTGAGCACTGGCAATGCAGGACTTGCCCTGTGAAGGTGGCAAACAGAAGCCTCCACACAATAGCAGAGAGATTGATTGAGATTGCATAAAACGCATAATGCTCTGCAGGTTTCCTATGTTTGCTGCAGAAAAAATGACATTCTGATAATGCATTGTAAAAGCACTACATAAAGTGTGATCCTACAACTTTACAGCTCCATTATAATCTGCAGCTTCTGTAAGGATATTTTTTTTCCAGGAACTTGTCTGCTGTTTACCATGCATCTGCTTACATGCATCCAAACTTAATTAAGAACATCTGACAACAATGTTAACACACCTTGGAGATTTCTTAAAAGTGTTTCTCTTATTAGATGCTGCAGAGTCCACAGGCTGTTTTAATATCCATTGCTTGAGATACTGGAACTTTCATTACCTCAAGTTCAAGTCCCAGTCAACTCCTGGTAACTATGGTCTGCTAAGAATTTGTGAACTAGTATTAGATTACAGTAAGGCAGCCTAAACACAGTTTTGTCACAGAGTATACAGTTGTGGGCTTAGATGCTGATCTTCCTAGATATCTAAGTGTCAACCTCCAACTGATTTCAGTGGAACACAGGTGTACATAGTTGGATTTGAGCTACATGCCTACACTACTGAAGTCAAGGAAAATCCTTCTCTTGACTTTATGGTTGAGCCCTACATTCTCAGATCACAGCTGGTATCCAGGCTTTTCAGGACTACTGCATAATTTGGAGAAAACATTAAAGTGTAGTAAAACCCCATTAACCTGACTTCAAGATGAGGACCTACTGCCTTGTAAGCAAGTGTCTTACAAAGATATATTACAATAAAACACAGAAAGGAACAGTGGCAAGATAACGAGATACAGTGAACTGTCTTTAAGGCTCAGCTTGGATGGTGTATTTTATTACGTTAGTTTGTATACTATTTTTTAACCTGCGGTCAGGTTCTCATGTCATTTTTTTCTATGTTAGGTGAGGAAAAGAGATAGAATCACCTGGATATGATTTGCAAACAAAACAACACAAAGTTCAGAAGAGGACTGGAGACTTCCCAAAAATGTGCACGATGTACTCTCAGAAAAGAAGACTTCTAAAGGTTTCTCAGCCAGGAGCTTGTTTAATTCTCTTGCCCAGTTTCTAAGTCAATGATCATCCTAGAATTATATATGCTCCGCTAGGTAAGAGTGCAGAGGTTACATGATGAGCCAAGACATTCCTTAGTCTGTTTACCACTAAAAAAAAACAAAACAAAACAACCACCACTCAACCCACCAACCACGCAGAATACCATGTTACAGCACCATGTTACTTCTAACCCCATTAGTAACACTGACAGATTTCCACTGATGCCCAATGAAGGCTTCAGGTGCACCTAAGACAGCTGGGAGTTAGAACATCTATTCCACAACTAGGTTAGCCTGCCTTAAGATACACTACAAGTTCTACAAATCAAATCTGTAATGAAGTCCAGTATATCAATCTGAACAAGGAGAACTTTTGCTTCATTTTAATTTTTCTCTATTTAAAAAGAAAGGAAAATAAACTAGATTGGGGAAGTTGGAACATTTAGAACTTCTAACAATTCAGTTATCTAGTCTCCACTGATTTTTGTGGGATCTCTCCCATTAAGAAGCTTCATTACCGACAGGTTTTCAAAAGAGCTCACATCCAACAAAGCTGCACTGTTTAGAGAGTTACTCGGCTTAGGCCCAAAAGGAGCGATAAGTTCTTTTGCAAAGCTAGTCTGCAAACTTTTTTGACAAACACACCACCAGAACAACTTCTTTAAAATAACATTTGTCTCTCCTGATAATCAAAAATATTTTTCATTCTTATACCATCTGCTATCCCCACAGAGAACACTTCCATTAGCACACACAGTCTAACGTACTGGCAGTAAACTGGACCTGTGTCATTGTATCCAGATCTTTTAATTTGTGAAAACATAATTATTTTGAAACTCATATTTGTCAAGAAAAAGGTATTATGCATGAGTACATTCAGTTATCACTAGCTGCCAGGATTAATCTGAGAAAAGTTCACCAAATATTAATTATACAAACCCAAGTATTAATTATACAAACCACGCAGAATCAGGGTTTCAGACTTTTCTTGCTGTATTTAGTGTAACTGAGATCCTAGTCAACAATTACTGCCCATATCCAGAACTGACATGTAAAGCACAATTAATGCAGCTCCCCAGAATATACCCCTGGCATACAATTAGAACTGTTTAGCCATTTTTGTCAGCCATCATAACCTGAATGTGCTAAATACCTGTATAGACTGTAAACATGAATCTACTTTACAAGCTAAGGGGGTGGAGGCAAGCAAAACAGTGAAATGAGGTGATCATTGCAAAGGTCATGTAGCATTCTACACACTGAACTGGCTTCCTAATGCAGTGACAGGTGCTGCACTGGTTTATTTTATACAAAGCTGATTACCACATTTTGGCTAACAGTGCTGGGGAAGAGACTGCTACCAGGCTGTAGGACAGGGAAGGCCAACGTGCTGATAAAACACTGGGAAGATCTGGGATCAGATTCTACAATGCATTTAGTAGCGTCAGGCTAAAGTACTTTAAAACCCATTTTATGGGGAGATGCCAGTCTTCTGACAAACCCGTACTTCCTCTGTCAATGCTGGCTACATAGATTGTAAATAGCAGGGCTACAGGTACCTGTATCTGTGCTTGATAATGAGGAGTACTCATTTGTACAACTCATGTAACCACAATATGATGAGGAACTGGTGAAGTTCAAGAAAAGAAAGTTAACACTAATGTTTTGCATGTCTTATGCAAGTTTGCTCTTAGAATGAATCTCTCTGTAGCTCAGAAGTCTCCATGTAATGTAGGGTGATAATATTTTCCATAGTTGTAGGGCTGCTGGAATTCCTCCTTCACTGCAAAGCAGTTAGACCTCAGAGATCCGTAACTGCATGGAAGCTGCCATAAAACAGGAAAATCATAGAATTGTTTGGGTTGGAAAAGACTTTTAAGACCATCAAGTCTAACTGTTAACCTAGCACTGCCAAGTCCACCACTAAACCACATCTCTAAGCCCCACATCTGCACATCTTTTAAATACTCCCAGGGATGGGGACTCAACCCCTTCCCTTGGCAGCCCGTTCCAATGCTTGACAACCCTTTCTGTGAAGACACTTTTCCTAATATCCAATCTAAACCTCCCCTGGCACAACTTGAGGCCCCCCCCAGCTCCCCCAGCTGCTCCCCAGCAGTCTGGGGCTCCAGACCCCTCCCCAGCTCCGCTGCCCTTCTCTGGACACGCTCCAGCACCTCAGTGTCTTTCTTGTAGTAAGGGGCTGTGCTGGTTTTCGCTGGGATAGAGTTAATTTTCTTCACAGTAGCTGGTATGGGGCTATGGTTTGGATTTGTGCTGAATACAGTGTTGACAACACAGGGATATTTTCCTTATTGCTGAGCAGTGCTTACACAGTGTCAAGGCCTTTTCTGCTTCTCACCCCACACCACCAGCAAGTGGGCTGGGGGCGCACAAGAAGTTGGAAAGGACACAGCCAGGACAGCTGGCCAAAAGGATATCCCACACTACATGACATCATGCTCAGCATATAAAGCTGGTGAAAGAAGAAAGAAGGGGGAGGACATTCAGAGCAACAGCGTTATTGTCTTCCCAAGTCACCATTATGCATGATGGAGCCCTGCTTTCCTGGGAATGGCTGAACACGTGCCTGCTGATGGGAAGTATGGTATTAATTCCCTGTTTTGCTTTGCTTGCACACGCAGCTTTTTCTTTATCTATTAAACTGTCTCTATCTGAATTCATAAGTTTTCTCACTTTTCTGATTCTCTCCCCCATCCCATCGGGGAAGACTGAGTGAAGGGCTGTGTGGGGCTGAGTTGATGGCTGGAGTTAAATCACAACGGGGCCCAAAACTGAACACAGTATTCGAGGTGTGGCCTCATCAGTGCCAAGTACAGGGACACGATCATTGCCCTTCTCGTGCTGGCCACACCACTCCTGATACAAGCCAGGATGCCGTTGGCCCTCTTGGCCACCTGGGCACACTGCTGGCTCACATTCAGCCGCCTGTCGTCCAGTACCCCCAGGTCCTTTTCTACCAGGCAGCTTTCCAGCCTCTCCTCCCCACACCTGTAGCATTGCATGGTGGTGTTGTGACCCCAGTGCCAGACCCAGCACTTGGCCTTGTTGAACCTCGTACAATTGGCCTTGGCCCATCGATCCAGCCCGTCCAGGTCCTTCTGTAGAGCCTCCCTCCCCTCGAGCAGATCAACACTCCTTCCCCATTTGGTGTCATCTGCAAACTGACTGAGGGTGCCCTCGATCCCCTCATCCAGGTCATTGATAAAGATATTAAACCGAACTGGCCCCAGTACTGACCCCTGGGGAACACAACTTGTGACCGGCCACCAGCTGGATTTAACTCCATTCACCACAACTCTTTGGGCCCAGCCATCCAGCCATTTTTTTTACCCAGCAAAGAACTTACCTGTCCAAGCCATGAGCAGTCAGTAACCCAGTAGTGAAAAATCCTATACATTCAGAAAAAGTAAGCACCAGATCATGAAGTTAGAAAGACAAGAAATACAATTTTTATTTCCTCTCTATACAATTTCTATTTCCTCTCTGAGCCTCTAAAGTGCACATTATGTCTTCAAGCTTTTGCCTGCAACAAGATCAAATTATAAAAGAATGACAAATGAGATTCCTCTCTCTCAATTGAGAGATCTCAGTCATCCAAAGTCTTATAAAAGTACCAATTATCAAAAGGGTCATGATAAAGATCACTGGATCTAGAAATGCCGTTTATCTGTGAGAGGTACCTCCCTCTCATTACACATGCCTGATGAAGTTGATGCTTCACTTCAGTGAGCAGCAAAACCACTACTGACTTGCACAAGGCAAGATCTGACACTCTGTTCCTTGCATATAAAGAGATCGTGGATACATCGGAAATGGGGAATGATGAAACGTGCGAGGAAATGCAAACAGGGCTGCTAGGGACCAGCAAGAACTGCACCATATTTACCCCTTAATTCGTCTACTAGAAAGCCACTGCCTGTCATATAACACAAGTATTCTCTATCTTTAACTGACCCCACAGCTTGAAGAAAAAGCCTTGAACACCATGAGCATATTAGGGAAGTTTTTACACATGGAATAATCGCTGAAGAAAACCAGCAGAAACACTTTTCATAGAACCTTTTTTGAAGCAAGGCTGGATAAAAATGGACAGCAGGGAACAATTCTAGCTTGGCAGCTTCAGCAGGTGCCCACAGCTATGTCACAGTGAATTAAAACAAAAGAAAAACAAACAACAACAACAAAAAATAATCTAGATAAGGATCAAGGCAACCTCGGAATGCCACCATTCCAAAAGGACACTTGCAGGAAGTGTAAGAGAATAATAAGAAGGAAATGGAACTACCGGATCTCCTTTATCAAATATAGGAGTTGAGATGGTTTAGAATCATAGTATGTAATGCCACGTGACTGCTGGATCACTTAATCTCACCGCCTGTATACCCCAGGTCATTATGTCTCGTGCAGTTACTCTCGGGCTGTCTTAACTGTTGGGAGCCATCAGGTCACCACAGAGAGATACCAGTGGGTAGTATTTGTTTAGCTCTTCACAGGTGGTCGTAGCCAGCTATTCGTCTCTCTGCTGCTTTGACTACTGCAGGCAGGTTCTCTGCAGTGGTCTGCCCAGCAGTCTGTCCACACTGCACAGAAACTCTTCTGACAGGATGAAAACAGAAACAGGCCTCCCTGTTCTCAAAGGCATCATGCTCAACTACCAACACTATGGAAAGATCATAACTGATAAAGCTCTAATGTAAGATCTAATCAACAAAAAAGGTCAAAACTCTTCCTTTCTAACAATCGCAGGCATGTAAGGAGAGAGACCTCAGTGACTGTAAAGGATGACAAACAGCAACAAACTGCTCAGTGAAGGATAAATCCTCAGTAGTGCAGCTATGGCTCCAGGATCCTGCTTTGAAATTAATTCTTCAAACATACCTCATTTTCCACCTTTGCAAAAGCAGCTCTCAGATCCTGGCCTGGTTATAGAGCCAAACTAAAGTTTGGCATCAAAACACCAGAAAGACTTGCCTCCAAATCACAGTGGCTAATGGCCATTTAGAATTCCACCTAAATCAGCACTTCAAGGACAGCAAAGCAGAGACTGCCTGAAGATTAGAATTAAAAGATTTGTGTCCTCACTTCTGAACGATGGCTGGAACTCCCTGGCTTCACTTTTTTCAATGAAACTACCTTGAAAAATAATCTAGTGATATTAGAAAATAATGGTTCAGACACTGACGATGCTTAGAATCTCTGCAGATCTGCAATCTGCAAAAGATAGTCTTAACTCTTATCCCAAGTATGTTGCTAGAAATGTTGAAGGCAACAGAACCCAGCCTTTTGTTGGGACAAACGCTGCATCGACCACACAGTAAAAAGGAAGTCAACCAACAAGTCTTTTCAGGAGAAAAAGAGCACATCTTGATTTGCTACTATTTCCAGGTCAGTATTATTTGCTCCTCATAACTCACACTTAGAGAAGTATTTACTAAGGCTGGAAGTGCCACCAATTTTATCACAGTTACTTGTTTATCTGAAAATGTACACAGTGTCATCTATGATACTGTTTCAAGTGCTTTGGTCATATAACCAGCAATTGCAAGCAACCGAGGGAACTTGTTCTTCATTACAGAGAATCTGGGTGACAGCACAGCGACCCAGACTTGCTCTTTAGCCATTTGAGCACAGCCACATCAGAGCCTTACCCACAAAATTATGTTTTCACTGCATGCATTTTGTGTGTAGCTCTAGCTGCATCTCCCGTGGCTCTCAGTACTGAAATTCCTTCTTGGTCAGCTATGCTAACTTGGGAAGTTGTCCAGCCTTCCAGGGAAAATTGTTGGGAGGGCTCTGAAGAACTACCAGTACTTAAGCGATCTTCTCTGAACCCTCAAAGCAAAGAGGGAAGGTTCCAATCCAAACAAAAGCTCATTCTGTGCTTTAATGCAGACCGAGGGGGTTGGACTAGATGACCACTAGTGGTCCCTTCCAACCCTAAACATTCTATGATTCTATGATACCTAAAGGTGGATATTGCCATAACCTTGATGCAAGACTTTTCACAGAGCGTGAAGTACACACTACAATATAGGCAGTGGTGATGGAGCAGGTGAGATGGTGTGTGAAGGACCACACCCCCTTGTCCCTTCCATGTCACTCAGCTCACTTCTGTTCCTTGCAATGCAAACAAGTGTGGATGGCTCCATATAACAAAAAGGAACAGATCTGAAAGTTGTGTGTATGCTGCTTACCTTTGTCACTTGGGGGAAAAGGCAGTAGTTGACATGACTACGTCAAAACAACACATCAGGCAGCAGCTTTACCTTTTCACTTGCCCAGCCATGGGAAGCCCTATGCCCCCATTCTTGAGTCAGTAAGAATGAAAAGGGCTGGAATGCAATACAGATTCTCTGCTCATTCTCACCAATTTAGCTTTGAGTGAATTTCATTTCCAAGCTTTTTTTTTTTTCCATCTCCAAAGCATGGATAGACCAGCTTTTCATACTACAACAGTCTTAATGACTTCTTAAGACATGGCTTAATAGAGATTACATGAAATAGGCTGTCATCTGTGAAAGCCAAGTCTCTAGTATCGCAGTTTTATGTGACTGAATCACAGTGTACTGCCTGGCTGCCACCTCCTGGTGTCAAGGATTGTGCAGGAGCTTTCAACTCTTTCCATAGAGCCAGACACATAGAAGCAGTATTATGCATAACATCTTAGTGCCAGGTGAGATTCCCGCTAACTGGGGTTTCCATGCATGGAGTTACAAGGCTCCACTACGCTGCAGAAAGAGTTTTATCACTGGGAGGAATGTGTTTGTGCTAATTTAGGTCATGGAAACCATGACAGCTTGCATGAGGCTCACCTCTCAGGGACACGCTGCAGCAGTGTGGGACAATGGTTGTGCAGCAAAACTGTCGCGCTGCAGGATGCTAAGTCACTGTCTTAGGAAAACATGTTACTGCCTGCTATATGCTGAGCTGTTCTCTTTTGTGAGCTTGCCAACTGGCAAACAGCATTGCTGGCACACCTACCCCCCCGAATCGAGTCCAGAAAGGATACACAGATATCCACATACATATGTGTACTGATAGCTGAGACTGCCTCAGCTTCTCTTCTTACTCCTAACCACACCAAGCCAACAGGTTCTCTACCACTCTAACCAAGATCCCAGCCTGACCAAGCAGTGCCGTAACCAGGAACGTCTCCAGGTGGTATCACGGCCAAGGCCGTTTCCCAGAGCACCTCCCAAAAGCTCACTGACCCTGCAAAAGAGGCGCCCCATGTCC